CATCCCGTTGCTCCGAAGGTGAATGGTATCATGCGCCAGGAATGCCCACGTGCAAAACTCCACGCTAATACATAGGTACGGTACTAAACCCAGAATCCTTCCCAAGTGGGCCCCAGATGCACCGTGAGATCGATTCAGCCCTACGTTGAGCCGCTGATCTTGCCTTTACCTTTCTTCTTCCCAGATCCAGGTTTCTTGGCCTCCGGAAGACTGACATCTCCCTCCGTGATCCCCTCTTCCCCACCCTCCTCCAATTCCTTCAACTTCATCTGCCCACCAATATAGAACTGCATGTCTCGATTGTACTCCTCGAGCTCTTTGTTCTTCTCCCCCAGCTCTCCCACCTTATCATCCAGATGCTTAATTCTTGTCATCAAGCTCTCGTTGATGGTCTTCTCTTCTTTGAGCTGCGTCCCCATATCCCGAGCCATCTTTTCGAAGCGCCCTGCCCGCTTCTCCACCCGATCGAGCTGCTTACTAAGATCGGAGGCTGTGGCTTGTGACTCAGTGAGCGCAGTTTGGACATTAGATAGCTGTCTTGTTGTAGAGTTTGCAGTTCCGATAGCTTTTTCGGCTGCTGTCGACGCCTTGGAAGCTTTGTCGACGGCTCGTTCGAGCTGCTCTTCAAAATACCGCCGCTGGCTATCGAGCTGCGAGGTCAGAAGGTAGGTGTATTCGGTGGACATGTTCTCGAACTTCTCACGAGATATCGAATCAACGCCAATCGCAGTATACGCCGAATTAGGATTTGAAGAGACGTTCATAGATGAGAGCGCCGCAGGAAGATCGACTAGCTTCCCATCCGACTTGTTTTGGATCAGTCGATGAACGTATCCATCACCAGCGTAGTCCCAAACGTGCTGAGTCACCACGTCCATAGCATAAGAATGCGAAGTTGCTTCGTAATGGGCAAAGGCATGAGCGGAGTCGTACCGACCGCAGCCGACGTTACCGCATATCAGACAGATCCACAAGTTTGCCGTGGTTCCACAGACGCTGCATTCATTATCTGCAGCTTCTCCAGGAAGAGGATATCCACGAAGACCAGTCATAGCATCGTTTTGGGTGTATCGACAAACTGGGCAGCCGCTTCCTCTCCACTTTTCTAAGCATGCGCAGTGAAACACGTGTTGACATAGTATTGTGAGTAGTCCAGTCGTCTCGTCCATTCGCTCCAGACAGACTGGACATGTTGGCAGTTCCACTAGTGACTGCGTAGGCGGTGCGAAAGGCTTGGCTGACAGGGCCGTTGAGGGATGCACAGATGATTCTGTGGGTGATAATGAGCTCGCCGGAAGAGGAGCTGTAGGATGGGGTCTGACTGCTGGGGTGAAAGGATCGTTCGTCATATCAGGGAAATTTGATGGATCTTGGTCTGTCTCGGGCGTCTGGAATTCGATCGACTTCACGAAAACGACATGACAAGTCTCAGCCTGTGATAGATTAGCACCGAAAATGATGCAAGCTTTTCGACAGGAAATCACTCACGTCCATGCTATTGAAAAGCTTCCCGTTCCATTCCTTCCGCCATCTCTTAGCTTTATGTGCCTCTCTGAACTTCATAAGTACCATGTATTTGTTGCTCTTGCCCGTGCGTATCAAGCGGAAATGACTGACATCATTTCTTGTCTGCTCACCCAGGAATCCTAGGAGGTCTGAAGGCGTCATATATGATGGCACGGCGAGAATGCATAATGTTGTGCACGCCTCCTCATCGAACTCCTCAACGCCTGTAGCTTTCTCCACGTGTTCAGTGTCCGATCCAGTGCTTGAATCTTGATCATTGTAAAGCCCTGGTGTCTCCTTACTGTCACGGTAAAGACGAACGACGCCCCATCCTACCTCAGTATGCTTTGGGTTGATGGGTGCATAGGTGCCTCTGGTTGCCAGACCACCAGGAGAGGCCCTTGTAGCTGTGCCTTGTTCGATTGAATTTGCCGTGATATTATTCCCAGATGCCGTGACTGGAGATCCCATATCAATACTCTCAATGGCGACGCTTTCGTATCTCCAGTCCCTCGCTGCCTCTTGGTTGAGCCGCTCCACAGCACTACTACCACTTCCACACAAGGTTTGTATATTCGATGGATTGTCTGAAGCCCTTCTCTTCAGTTGTATGCGGTCCTTAACCGTTCGGTGAATAACCGACTGTCCTTCGTTACGAAAGCTTCCTTTGTAGGATTTCTGTCTTCGATGCTTCGGAGACGTATGAGGTGGCAGGGATGTCGTGAAGATATCAGTATTCCGCCGCGGCACGAATAGATTCCCTATTTTGTCACGTTCCCTCCGTATGCTGTCGGGCGCTGGATATGAGTATAGTTCAAGAGCCAAGTGGTAGAAGTACGATGGCATTGGTCGGCGTAGAAAGCCTTAGTGAAAGGAAATGCAGTTGAGCAGCGCCTTACAGCAGAAAGCCGCCGCGCAATCAAGAACAAAACAAATGCTAGAAGGTTCTACCGGTGGGTAAAATGGATTATTTGCCGTGGGCTTCTGGGGTCAGATAACTGAAGTCTTTGTGAATCGAAAGGAGGGAAGTTGCAGCATCATCACCTGCTTCGATAAACTTCAAGTCATACACGGTATTTACGAGGGCCGTCACATGAAAATTACCACTACCTTGCTGTGTCAATAGCCAGATTTATTCGCGAAAGCTTTGCAGCTTCGCTTTCTCATTGATTGATCTATTTGCGCATAGATATGTTTCCACCTAAGCTAACATTAATCCCCTATCATGCGCCATTCGTCAAGCCATTTGGTCACCCGCTTAGAATCATTGATGCCACGAAAGGAAAGTATCAGACCTCCTACTGTCCACCACGTAGACGAAGTACCAAATGTAGCGTGCTTTCTTTCTGAATGTTGTAGTCCGAAAGCGTTCGTCCATCCTCCAATTGCTTCCCGGCGAAAATGAGACGCTGCTGGTCGGGGGGAATGCCCTCCTTGTCTTGAATCTTGCTCTTGACGTTGTCGATGGTGTCGGAGCTCTCAACCTCCAAGGTAATTGTCTTGCCAGTAAGTGTTTTGACAAAGATCTGCATACCACCACGGAGACGAAGCACGAGATGCAGTGTGGATTCCTTCTGAATGTTGTAATCGCTTAATGTACGGCCATCCTCGAGCTGCTTTCCGGCGAAGATGAGACGCTGTTGGTCTGGTGGGATACCCTCTTTATCTTGGATCTTTGATTTGACGTTGTCGATAGTGTCCGAGGACTCAACCTCTAACGTGATCGTCTTTCCTGTCAATGTCTTGACGAAGATTTGCATACCACCACGAAGACGGAGCACGAGATGAAGGGTCGATTCCTTTTGGATATTGTAGTCCGAAAGCGTCCGGCCGTCCTCAAGCTGCTTGCCGGCAAAGATCAAGCGCTGCTGGTCAGGCGGGATTCCCTCTTTGTCCTGAATTTTCGACTTGACATTGTCGATGGTATCTGAGGACTCAACCTCAAGCGTGATGGTTTTGCCAGTGACTGGATCGCTGTTAGGTAAACAAGTTAGAAATTTAGGGAGTGAAGGACTTACGAGTCTTGACGAAGATTTGCATACCACCACGAAGGCGGAGCACAAGATGCAGAGTGGACTCCTTCTGGATGTTGTAGTCGGAAAGTGTTCGACCGTCCTCAAGCTGTTTACCCGCGAAGATCAAGCGCTGCTGGTCGGGAGGAATGCCCTCCTTGTCCTGAATCTTCGACTTTACATTGTCGATGGTATCAGAGGATTCGACCTCAAGGGTGATGGTCTTGCCGGTGACTGCGGACTTGTTAGCTGGTGACGTGATGATAAGAGAGCGGGGATGAGCGAGGCTACATACGTGTCTTCACGAAGATCTGCATGATTGAGTCGTTGAGTCTTCTGGTCTGGAGTCTTTGAATGAGAAATTGATTTGGTTTTGGAGTTGCTGCAGGTATGTAGACTGGTGGTGGGTGTAAGAGTTATCGCAGGCTGTGGAAGTGGAGGTCCTTTTGTAGTGATCGTAAGTGGCGGCCGCGGCTGGGGCTGTGACTAATGCTCGCACGTAGGTTGCAGGCAGCATGTGGCTGGAGCTTTCCTGGTAGAACTTGCTAGAACCTTGTTCACACGTGATTTTGCAGCGACAAAGGTCACATTATTGCTCATGCGAATGACAGTCTCGCAAATCGTAACCCGCAGAACACATTCAGGTTTCCCCGCCAAATTTGTCCCTCGTCCCTCCGTAGAACAAGCGGAATATACAGAGTACTCGCTAGCATTGCCAAAAGCAAATGCTCAATGGCGAATATTCTATAGTATCATTGGGAGTGCGTTGAATCATAATCACAATTAGAATGCCACCTTCAAATGAAAGCGTCCCTAATATAGCGTGCCCTCACCTGATTTACATGAACTCATGAAGTTCGCTTCAGATTACAGGTGATCTCTATTAGCAATGAGATTTGATGTGCCTCAAAGACAGGTCTGTGACCCAATTCGACTCAAAATGAGGTACTCGAGCATCGTGTTAAAAAATACAATGGTAGGCTATATTTAGCAAATGCCTACATGTAGGCCTTCGACGGTAACGTCTGTGTTCTATAAATACGAGCATCTCAGAAGGCATTAGAATGACGATTTCTAGAGAGTGTAAAGATAGCCAGTGATCGAGAACCGCAATGATTGTAATGATCCTTATTTTTATACGAAACGATATTGAAGACACCCAATTCCTACCTCAAAGTCTCCGCGAGACGTCCATTTCCGAGCAAGCACTTGGAGAATGAATTATATAGAAATTAGTATCCTGAATTGCTAGCATCGAGGAAGGCGTACTCCGTACTAGGAATAGATTTTGACCTACCAGTTTACGCTCCTAAAACTTGGTGGAACGATCATTGCCCAAGCAGTTGATGCAAACTGATCTGGCACGTCGATGAGACAAGAAATCGGTTGTCGCTCCATGAAAATATTGAGCTAATATATACACAATACAGAATTTCAACTTACAATTGCGGAGGTTCAAGTCCTTCTATAGCTCAGGATTCGGCCATGGTAGTGTAGTGGTATCACGACACGTTGTGGTTACGGCTCCGTGTCGACCCTGGTTCGATTCCAGGCCATGGCAATTTTCTCTTTTTTTTCTCCTTCGCTTGGGTACTTTGATTTCTTATAATATTTTAATCTTATCATTTTCGTCTCAACTATACATAATGCGGAAAAGCCCCTAACGGCTTAGTGTACGAAGTAGCACCATCTAAATTTAGTGCCGATCCTCCTACAGCACAACGATCTCTACGATACACTGCTTGACGAAGTTGCGCGATTGACTTACGAAAGTTCAAATATTTGTAGATACCTTACTAAGCGCAGATTTGAACCTATGTTCCGTCATTAAATGAGTTGGATTTTTATGTACATGAAGTTTTGCCCCTTGCTGAGACCATAAAAAAGCCTCACAGTTGACGGGTCACGATATGCAAATTATGCTGGTCAAGGGTAGGGTTCGATTGGTAGTCAATGCATCTTCTGATCAATGAAGCGGTGAAGATATTCCTGCCTAGTCAATAGTCAGTTTCGGGGCTGACGATATCCGGGCTCGGGTGTAACTATTTTCCTTGCCTTGTAACAATGATGAGACGACCGACCCTGTAAGAATTGCTACTGCCTACAGCGCCACATGCAGCCGAAGAAAGCCACATTTTGGCCGCTACATTTACAGAAACCAAGCTTCAGCACAGGAGAAGGGAGAGAGACGATTCAACCTAATAAGGTTCTCAAGATTCCGACTATGTATGACAAGTAGATACAACACAAAGCTGGCTATATACGTCCCTGGGGTGGGCCCTCTTCACAGGGGCCGCGATCGCTCTTCAGCAACGCCATCGCCAGTGCTGTAGTAGCAGAAACAAATACTCCATCAAAGTCTTTGATAAAAGATCTGTCAGAAGAAATTGGACCATTCAAGTCGTGAAACTCGTCCGGGCGGGTAGAGGGAAAGGGTTGAGCCACAAACACCCTGTAGAGGGATGTCGTGATTTGGAGGTATCATCTAAATCCCAAAACACTGCCGCCGTTCGTTTTAGTGAAGAATAATAGTGTAAGAGAGAAAAAAAATAGAAGCGGTAGGAACAAAGATGATGGGAACGCTACAAAGTGGATGCGTGTAATCAAACAAGTCGTGCGCTGACATGACTTCGTTGTGCTTTTCATTCGGTTCTCCTCGTATCATCACGGCAATAACGGCATGATCCGTATGCACGTCGTAGGGTCGTCCACAGCATTGGACCGATGTAGGGCAACATCAAGGCAGAATTAGACACGAAATAAAGGACAAAGGAAACGACTGGGTTTCACCCTTGGCCAAAGCTACAAGCTAGACCAGGACATATGCTAGACATTCGATAATAGGCCGTAAAGCGGGTCGTCGTACTCTTGCGGAAAAAAGCGTTGCAGGACGTGAATCGGCGTTAAATGAGACATTCTAGGGAAGCGACCGCGCATCGTGCCAGTCTAGTTGGCACGAATGACAAGCTTGGACAAGAACTTGTTGGACAAGCAGTCAAAGTCGTCACGATCGAACTTGGTCTCCGTTCTCGACTTGAGATAGTTTTCTAGTGGCAGCTAATTAGCCGAGGCTCTGATGGCTAATAGAATTGCAAAGCTTACCATATTTGTTAACATGACCACGAACTTCAGTCATGGCATCACAGACAGCAGGATTCGAGTTCAAGATGAAGTGATGTTTGCGGGAGTCCCACTCGTTGAAGGCAGGCACTCTCTGACTGATGGCTTGGAACAGACCAACGATGACGCCAACAGGAGTTGCCTCCATGTCGTTGCAGAACTTCTCAACGACAGCATTGTCTGGCACGCGGTAATGACAGTCGAACTGCATCTCTTCCCATACAGCGAGGAGGATGGCTGCCAACATGAAGATGGTAGGCCAGTTTTTGAGTTTCTCACCACTGTATACGCTGGAGTATAAGGTAGAGAGTTCCTCTAGGATGTCCTTTTGAAGTTCCCGCCACATATTGGCAAGAGCACATTTGACCTGGAAATTGATCATAACAGGAGCGACGGTCTTTCCGTTGAACTTGGATTGGTCATCAGCGATCTTGCCTTTGTCACCTTCTTGCTCTGACAAGCCCTCTACCATAGTGAAGTGCATGGTGAGGTTGTAAGCAATGACCAGCTTGAGAGCCTTGCGGATGACCGGTAACCGCTCGCGCAAGTAGTACCGATACGCAGTCTTGAGAATCTCGGTCAAAAATTTGGTGCCCTCGAAATAGTCATCGATAAACTTCTCAAAGCCACCATCGATGTGACGATCGATATACTCAGACAGCAGTGAAGCCGAGATACCTTCCATGCCCGCAGTGAGTCTCGCCGTATCAAGCTCGAATGCCTTTGGCTTCTGAGTCCAGGTCTCCACCCAATCCAGACCAAAGACATTTTCGTCGCGGACATAGACTTCACGAGCATTGATGGGAAGATAGTGACCGTAGCCATGAGTAATATACAAGGTCCTCTCGTTCTGGGAAAAGCCCTTGATATTATCGACTGAGAAGCCAAGAGTGACGTGTCGTTCATAATCGGCCTTCCAATCCTTCATGAAGTAGGCAATGTCCTTGATGTCGATCCGAGTGCAAGGGACCTGCCAGAGTCGAGTGTGGGACGGTTGACATCCTCCACAAGGATCACCCTTATCACAAGTCTTCTTGAGGAACTTACAACGTAAGCAAGCTCTGAGTTTTCGAATCTCATGGGCTTGCTGACGTTGGTCAGGGCGAAGAGGACCTCTTCTCCGGCCGACCTTCTTCTCTGAAACGGCTTCCTTCCTTCCTGAGTGTGCACTGACCTTCTTTATGACCGCTTTAGTAGTTTTGGAGACGGGACTCTTCTTTCGTCTATTTGGAGGTGAGCTCATGCCGGAGGACGACGGTGAGACAGAGGATGAGACCGGATGCTTAATGTCGATGGGTTCAACAGGAGTGGAGGTTGAGGCAGCATGTTGATGTGGAGAGTGATGGTGGAGGTCGCACTCCTGGCCGTAGTCTGGGAGGCCGTTGGGAGCGGTGTGGGCTTGAGCGAGCTCGAGATTGGATTCAGAGTGAGGGGAATGAAGAGGGAAGGGGATCTCCTCGTAGCTACTGAATGAGTGGGCAGATAGAGCCACATCGGAGTCTGAAGAATCCGAGCCGGTACGGATGTGGAGAGTCTGGCTGGGGTTGAAGACGGCATCGGTATAGGAGTCCAACGATTGGCGCGAGGGAGGTACTTGGAAGTCGACATTATTCCAGCCCGGATCACTGCTTGATAGCGACCGTACCTCGAGCCAGCTATCCGTAGGCGAAGTACCTGCCAAATTCGACTGTGGATAGACATCTGTCGAAGCCATGGAATCGTTGGTCATGCCCAAGCTCAACATCTCACTTTGAAAGTCGTTGACCTGATAGGCCAGCGCGTTCATAGACTCCATTGGAGCAGACATGGGCATGTATTGTTGAGCTAGGCTGCTAGCATCCATGGAAAGACCCGCACTCAAGGGTGCTGTGGTAGATGGCATGTAATCAACAGGCGATGATTGTAGAGTTCCTCCATAGTGGGCATTCGAGTAGGCCTGGTCGAAGGTCGGATCTTGGAGGTAAGTTTGCTGGGTCTGTTGAGCAAGTTGATACTGCCAGTCTGTCGTGAGCGTGGCACCTGATGGGTCGACGGATTGCGGATATCGGAGAGCAGCGGCACGCAATGCTGTCGCGGCCGCTGTGTTATTCGGCCGGCCGTGTGGATTCATGCTGAACTGGGTAGAAGTGCCATTCGGATTTACGTTGGTGTTTGGATTCGAGCTGGAGGTGGAATCAAGGGATTGATGGTGGAAGTGCGGCTGCTGCTGGTGCTGGTGATGTCCTTGATGAGACATGTCTGGCTGCTCTTGCTCCAGATTCATCGGCGGCCAGGTCGCTGGCGGTTGGAGATAAGAGAAACGCTGAGGGCCGCCGAGAGCATCGTGGGCGAAGGCGAGAGAGTCCATGGTCAGCACGGGCGGAGCAGGAGGAGGATTCATCGAAGGCTCGATAGTGCAATGAGAGTCGGTGAGGATATTTGCGGCCGGCGGTGCGAGCAGCTAAACTCGGCGCCCCGTCGAGGACTGCGGAGAGGAGAGCATGATCGCCCGACGAGGTGGAGTTTGAAGGCGCCTGCTTACTACTCCGAATCACGCAGACCAGGGCCGACCAGGAGAGAAAGCGCGACGACGCAGAAGCGGAAGAGATGGCAGTGGTGAGGGGTTGGAGTGCGCGAAAATGCGGTGAGCAGGAGGCCGGTTGATGCTGCTTGATGCTGGCCGAGCGGAGACGATTGGCTGGCCGTGCATTAGCCTCCTGCCGCCCACACCGCTCCTTGGAGAAGATTGGAACTCCACCAGACCCGCCCCAGCCTCGCCGTCGATCGCCCAAACATTAATGCATCGCGCGCTCCGGCACAGTGAAATGCTGAACTGCTGGAATGCTGGACTGGCTGTGCCTGCCTGCGACTTTTCCCTCGCTATAGCACGCGCCGAACTCTCTGGTCGCCGCCTAACTACTGTAAGCCCTCGCCCAGAAGCCTGTGGATACGGAGCTTTTTCTTATAGTTGACCTGGACGACTCTGCTACGCCGTACCGGGCTACGCGCTGGGCGATTTCTCAACCCGCACCTCGTTCAGTCCTTGCCGCACCACCATGCAACCTAACGGTGGCATCGTGTGCAAGGCCCGCTGCAGGCTCGCAAATGGGGTATATCTCGGCCACGAGCGAGCCGGAACCGCTACATGTGTCTTCAGCGTGTCTACGCCCGTCAAGGCGGTATCCGATACAAGCAACCACATGCTGCGCACGCCAGCTCGCCCTCCTTGCATGTGGATGTGATGACCATTTGCCACTTTCAATATCGTGTTCCGCACCTCTGATCCTATTGTGCATGCTCCTATGATCTCTTCATTGCAAATTGCGGCGACCCCCGATGACCTTTTTGTGCGCCACGAAAATGAGTGACATGAAACATACTGTCGCACCCCCGAGCTCATCAATGCGGCGATACCTCCGTGACTCCTGCTTACTCAAGACTCATTTCTGATCGTAATTTCAC